CCAGACTTCCACCAAAGAACACTAAAGGTCCCAAATGAGCTCAGAAGATTCAAATATGTCATGTAGCCTTGTACGTACGTAATCCTATGAATATGCACTAGGTAGGAGTGGTTATGAGAGATGGAGACCTGTTGGAGCATATCCACAGGAGGGCCACAGAAATGCTCTGGGGGATGGAACACCTCCCTCTGGGGCAGAAATTCTTCCTAACATCCAACCTGAACCTCTCCTAGTGCAGCTTGAGGCCATTCCCTCTTTTTCTGTCATTACATATTAGATAGGTGAGTCATGAAAACTTATTGGATTATAGCAGAAGCCAGTGTACAGACTGTGCACTAGATTTGTGGGAATATCCCACCTCACACCCTGTGCAGAATAAATCAGTGTCTCCTCCCATGCTCTTGTCTTTTGGCTGTGTTTTGGGAGATTTGCAACAGACAGCAAGGGAAAGGAGCCCTTCCACAACCATCCTTTGGCCTCCACAGGACCAAACTTTCAGGATAGTTGCTACAGAGTGGAATAATAATCCTGCTTTTATTCTCCATGAGATCTCCTGCCATGCCCCAGGTTGTTCTCTTCCCTGCCTGGCTGGAATCTCCAGCTGGGTTACTTTGAGATTTGTATGAGTTTTTACACGGACACCTCGTACCTCAGACAACCTATCCAGACATGGCACGCAGAAGCAGATTGCAGTACTTTCCCTTGTGGCTGCATAGGAATATTTGCACATTTTTAGTTCAAAGAAGTTCAAATTCAAGTCATCACAAAAACCCCTCCGGCAACTGACCAGCAGTTGGCAGAACAACTCTAACTTCATGATTTAGAGCCTCCCAGTCCACCTGAAGCAGGGGCAAAAATAAGAACCCCTTGTCTCAAGGTTGCCTCTTTTTCAGTGCCACAATGTTGGTATGAACTGCCATGAGCAGCCCACAGGCACGAGCCCTCAGACAAACACCCTGGTGTGGGCCACAAAACCCCAACATGACTCTGAATCTGCAGGAAAACAAGGCTTAAACAGCTCTAACACTAAGACACACATCTCCAAACACACCAGAATGGTGTTTTTGGATGCCATTCTTCTGGTTCTGCAGGAAGAGGCCTGACAGGGGAACCTCCAGTGGCCACTGGGACAAGTCTGTACCAATTAACAGCCCAGCTTGCTCAAGCCAAAAATCCTTTAGAGCAGCTGCAGTTTTATTACTGGACCCAATCACTAGGAAACAGATCAGAATACTTGAAGAAAATATCCCTCCTGTGGCTATGAGATTTTCTTCAGAAATTCTAGTTTCAGAAATGTGTCTTTGTGACATAGGAAAGGAGGAAGAGGGGCACGTTTTGTTAAGTCTAGGGCTGTCCATCCCATGGGGATGCTGAGAAGGGGCATGCAGGCACTGATAGCGATCTCATCTCGGGTGGACAAACGGCCCGAGCAGCCCCCATAGCAAAGGGTAAGCCACCCAGAGCCTCCAGCACATGGAAACCCAAACACACAGACATTTTTCCAGTATGCCAAAACCACCTCTCACAGACAAAGGCATGTTGCAGGGAGTGCCCCAGACCCACAGTGGAGCCGTGCGCAGCTTTCGGATGAAAAGGAAACCCAGCTACAAGGAGTATCCTGACTTCTAATTTTGGCAGCTCTCACTAGCACTGCCAGGCACAGAATACCAAAGCGATGAGAGTTTGCCTGCTTTCTGCTTATTAAACAGAGTTCGCCCAGCATTTTTGTTTACCTCAACACCATCGCCCAGGGCGGTTTCGAGGTTGCAGCGCTGTTGAGTGAGCGCCGGGATGGCACAAAGCCAGCTGCACCAACTGCATGGCCGGCCGAAGGACTCGTGCCTCAGCCCGTGTGCTTCTCATGGTCCTGCGGCTTGGGATTGGGCTGAAGCCAGAGACTGGCCCCGGCTCCGCCTTTCTCCTCTTTTTAAAGCCTGCCGAAAGGAGCCGCTGTCAGATGTGGGCTCTGTGCTGCTCCTGTGCTTCCTCTTTTACTGTCTGAAAAAGTATAAAGTGCTCCATGTCTTGGCGAGAGCTCCTTCCTCCCTGGCTAGTGATCGTGGCAGGACTGACAGGCATCGTGCTGCTCTGCATCTCCACCAAAGATGTGCCCGTTGCCCCGCTCAGGACCAAGGTAAGGGTGAATGGCTCTGCCAGGGGTGGGCAAACGAGGTCATGCAGGACAATGTGCAAAAGATAATGTCCTCAGCTCCAGGGCTGCTTGTTGGAGAGAACCTGCCGGTTTCCTTGTGCTCTTCTCTGGTGCAAGCTAGGCATTTGAACTACAGACAGGTGTGTTGTTGCTTTTTACATTCATCACACTACTGAGTGACTTAGTAGCCTGAAACAACTGATTGAGGGATCAGAACAGGTCTGAGGATGGGAGCATGCCATGGCTTTTTCAGCCAAAGACAAACCACTCTCTTTGGGCCCAAGTGCCCAGCTCAGGGAGGGAGCAGGCTGACCATCATCCATCCATCAGTGATGTTCAGTGCAGGCTGCGCAGAAGCAGCCCACAGCAGGAACCATCCCACAGCAGGAAGGAGCCACAGCTTCAGTACAGGGAAAGAGCTGCATCCTTCTTGAAAAACAGTAGAGCTTTATTTTTTACTTCTCTTCTTCTGTCTCTTAATCTCTTGATTTTAGGCAAAGATTCAGCCTGCTCAATGCAGCAGTTAGATCTGCTTGTGCTTCTTGATGCAAAGCTGCCGAGATGAGCTCAGTTGCGTGATGTGGTTTAAAAGAAGTAGGTTAACACGCAAGTTCAGACACACACTGCCCTTTCTCATGCTTGTCAAACTGAACTGGATTTAAAAAAAAATCCTATTGCTCCAAGTTCTTCCCAGCAGCTCTCTGTCCTTCCCTGATGTTCATCTGTGGCATCCATGCGGTGACCCCTTGCGCTCCCAGCAGCAGCCTCTCATTTTTTGAAGGAGAAAAAAATCCCAGCTTCTCTGCCAAGACCACTCGTTTCCTCTTCTCCTAGTGCAGCTGACACGTCCCTGCCAGAAATATGAGCTGTCACTCATGTGGGAGGATGCCAGCAGGCTTGGGTAGAACTGCGTCCTTCCGCATTCTGCTTGGGCTCTGGCCCCAGCACTGAGCCCAGCGAAGCTGGAAGCTCCCAGAAGGGTGCAGGCAGTGCTCGGGGCTGCAGCCAGGCTCCATATTCTGCTAAAACCTTTCTGACAGCACAAACCTCTCTGAAGGTTTCCCCTCCCACTCAGCCGCAGTTATGAATATTTCCGTGCAAGATGCAGGTAAGACCATACACTGCCACACACCTCCCAGATCTCCTGCACTGATTCCCTATGTAGGAGGTGTCCCAGACTGCAGTAGTAAATGAAATCCTATGCTAGCACCAAGGCTGTTTTGAGCATGGGCTGCAGGGTACTCCAGCTCAGTCAGTACAGCATCATAGAATACCCTGAGCTGGAACAGACCCACAAGGGCCAGGGAGCCCAACTCCTGGCTCCACACTGGGCTACCCAAGCAGACCAGATCCTGCACCGCAGAGGCAAAGAAAGCCCCTGGCCACAGGATGACTCCTGGCAACTTCTCCCTCCTCCACACTGCGCTCCAAGCATGACGATTCTAACCCCTTATGCAGGGTTTGATGGTAAAAGCATGAGTTCTGTTCAGCTTCAGGTGTCATATTTTGGACAATACTGGGGTGTTCCTCACTAGTTTGAGTTGCTTCAGCCCCACAAATGCCATCAAAAAGGGTTTTCATGCCTTAATGCTTGGGGGTTTTCTTCTTAATCTCTCAAGTCTTGCTTTGATGTTGAAATGTGATTATCACAGGATGCTGGGAAACCCTTGGTTTTCTGTGTAACTATACAACAGGAGAACATGGCAGTGCACAATGTGTTGAGAAATCTCATGTGGCTGCTGCAGTTTCTACCCAGACGTCATCTTGGTCTCCATGGGACCACTGCATTTAAGAGCATATGCTGCAACTTCAGCAGGCTTGGCACACATCAGAGCAAACTCAGATCACATCTTTCCCTCCCTGCAGTAGGGATGTGAGATTCTCAGCTTCTTCAGAAGCAGGAGCAAGCCACAACCCTCTGAGTGCTTCATGAAAGCCTTCCCTCTTTAACAAACCAACCCAAGAGCAGTCAGTCTCAGAATCAGCTGACAAACTGCATAGATCTCTCTTCCACTGCACTAGGGCCTCTCTGACTTCCAGATGGCTCAGCTTGCAATGGAAGCCCTTTGCCTGCTGTCAGGAATAGTTGCAGAGCATGCCACTGTAGGAATTACACATCTCTGGGTATTTTTCTACTCCTGCTGCTTCTCATTCAGTAATGCTGCAGGTTCACAGCACATGCCCTTCACCATTTGTCTTCACCTCTTTCTCTGAATGTAAAAAGCTAACTCAAATAATGCAGTGTAGGCAACCTAGGGTACCTAGGTAACACTTAGCAACCCTACAGTAATAAATAAGTGAGCATTCAGTGGTATTCATTTAAATCTTTTTGGGATTTTCCAGTATGGCATTGTTCTGGATGCTGGCCCATCCCGCTCCATCCTGTTCATCTATCAGTGGACCACCACCAAGGCAAACAAGACCGGGGTGATCAAAGAATGTAGTTCCTGCACGGTGCAAGGTAAGGTGCCAGATTCATGCTTGCTGGTCTCTGGGATTAGTATGGGATGGATAAAAACAGAAGAAAACTGTGCATGGTCCATTACTGCAACTTCTTTGGCTCTTATATCAAGACAACGCTGCTGAGCTCCTCAACCAGGGGAGATGTGAGCAGCAATGGAGGCAAGCCTGGCCACAGGGTGACTCCTGGCAACTTCTCCCTCCTCCACACTGCGCTCCAAGCATGACAATTCTAACCCCTTATGCAGGGCTTGATGGTAAAAGCATGAGTTCTGTTCAGCTTTAGGTGTCATGTTTTGGAAAATACTGGAGTGTTCCTCACTAGTTTGAGTTGCTTCAGCCCCACAAATGCCATCAAAAAGGGTTTTCATGCCTTAATGCTTGGGTCTTGTTGTTTTTTTGTTTTGTTTTGTTTTTTAATCTCTCAGTCTTGCTTCGCTTTGATGTTGAAATGTGATTATCACAGGATGCTGGGAAACCCCTGAACTCTCAGTAGGAAGGCAACTAGAGAACAAGCAGGGGATTGATGCTCTTGCAGACTGCTAGCAAAGTAAGCCACCTACAAATAATACAACAAGGCTCCCTTGTTCAGGGACTTGTTCAAAGACTTATTTGAAACTGCTGTAAGTTGTCAGCAGTAGGAAGAAACCAAGGCAAGTCTCCTTCCCAGAAGAGAGGCAGTCCTCAGTCTGTGTGGCCATAGGCAATAGCAGCTCGGCTCCAAGCAGGGCCCAAGAGAGCAAAGCTGATGGGAGAGGGACACACAGCCAGCAAGGCAAGAGGGGCAGAGGATGAGGAAGCAAGGCTCTTGGCTCTTTCTGGGTAGTAGTTCAAAACCAACACTTAAAGCCACACTGAATTGCGCTGGCAAGATGAGTCAGGACTTGCACGCAGCTTCCCTCTGCACAGCACCAACTTCCTCTAGAACAGAGGTGCCCTGCTTGTAGGCTCAGGGTTCAGAAACCACCTCCGCCAACACAGGAGGAAGTGGCTGGAGGAAGGATCTGGCACATCAGTTTCAGTGCTGTCTGCATGGCCTTTTGCTCATCATTTACAGTGGTTAAAGCCACACTTTTTCCCCTTTGTGGGCTGAGACAGCTTCAGCTCTGTTGCAGCGGCCATGCATCTGATTCACAGTCACTCACAAGATGTCTTAGCAGCATAGCTGGGGTTAGGTTAATGCAAACTGGTATTCACACATTTACCATTTTGCTCCCAGAAGAGCAAGATGGAAGAACAGGAAGAACTCCTTTGTTCCACCTGTGAAGTGTCCTGTCGTTATGCATGTCCTGGAGGCTCTCTAATAACAGCTCTCACTTCTCCCACATATTCCCATAGAAAATTCCATTCTTTCCCCTGATCCTCAGGTCCAGAAATCCCGAACTACTCAGATTCTCCTCAGAAAGTAGGAAAGAGCTTGGATACATGTTTGAACTGGGCCCAGAGCAAGATCCCGGCAGAGCAGCACAGCCAGACTCCCCTGTACCTGGGAGCAACCACCAGCATAAGGCAGCTGAAGTGAGTGCATGTTGCAAACCCACACCCAGAGACCAGCACACATCATGTGGATCATTCTGTAAACAAATCTCGCCTATTTGTTCTACCGTGTTTCACCCCTAATCTGCTGGTCAGGTAAACCTTCTTCAGCTCCCCATGCACTCAAGGGGCGTACAGCATGGCTGTGACCACACCACATCCCCCAAGGCAGCTATGAAGATGAGTCTTGCTACTGGTCACTTTGGCAATGAGGGCCAGGGAAAAATCTGTCAGTCTGGAAGCTGTTTTTACTTTACATGACAAGCAACACGAGGCTGCAGAGGTGTTTCTTGTCAGCAGGTTGGGAGCAGTGGTGGGAAGATCCACTTTATGATACATACTTTTGTGGAAACTGCTTTCAGTCACCTCATTGCTGGGAACTATCTTCTTTCAGACACTGGGTGAGAGTAAGGTCTAGAGGGAGAAAGTCCATGGGGTAAGGCCACAGCATCCCTCAGTGGCAGGGGGTACTAAACTCCCAAACTCTTGAATGGTGGCACAGCTGATCAAATCATATCTCCATCTGTATTGTGCAGGCTGTTCTTGCCACCAGTGCTGTGGAAGGAGAGAGGGAAGCAGCAGCAGGATTATTATCTGTCTCACCACGCTGCTACCCAAAATGGGGAGAAGAGCACATGTTCTGCAGCTGTGCCCACCATGGACTGCTCCTGGCAAAGCACAATAAACACACCCTCTTTCTTTTCTGTCTAGCCTCAGCCATCCCACCCCCTCTGACGATCTCCTTGCAGCCCTGACTGTGGCCCTGAAGTCATCCCCCTTTGACTTTCAGAGGGTACAAATCTTGTCCAGTCCAGATGAGGAAGCATTCAACTGGGTTGCTGTTAACTACATTCTGGAGAACTTCTTCAAGGTACAGAATTTTTAGAGTCATGTTATATCCAACACCAGCTGGCTAGGGAACGTGATGTGACGTGGTTAAAAATGGTTTGAAGGATCAAATATAACATTGCCTACACACGCTCGTGTAGCTGCCCTAATTTTCTGGACAACACATCAAGGACGCTTGCATCCATAACTTTAAACAGCCTGGTCCTCACTCCCCTGATCAGGTCCCTGCAGTTCTACTTCCAAATGCATTGCTGCTGCCTGCAGGGTGTTCTGCAATTGTCACTGCAGTCCAGTTGTCTACAGGCAACAACCTGTAAGCAGCAGAGCAAGGAAAAAGCCCATAGGTGTTCCTCTCATTTTGATGCAAGCAAGAGTATAGCTGGGTGTCCCATGCTGGAGCCCTGCCCTGTATTCAGAAGGTACCAACTGAACAACAACAACAAAAGTATATTTAATTTTCCTTGCTGACTCCATACATTCTCAATCTGCTGCACCTCAGGAAGGATTCAAAGTGCAAAAGAAAAGCAGGCTAGATAGCAGCAACTGAGTTACCGCACAGCAGGGAAGTGAAAGGCAGCAGCAATGCACCATAATATAAAGCTATATAAAGATATAAAGATATATTATCAGCTTGCTGCTGATAAATTGCAGCAAGCATGCACCAGCTATGGAATTGCTAATCCTGCTGGCAGCAAGGCAGACTCCCCAAGCCAGCGACACAGTGCTCAAGTCTGCAGTCAGTGTAAGCTTTCCTGTCCATATTAGTAACTTCAGCACTGGCAGAATGAGTTCTGGGGAAGATGAAACCATAGGGTTCTTCTGATGGGAGAGTGCTTCAGCATTGAGGCAGCACTCGAAGCCCACATCTGTCCACCCGGGAACCTCCCTCTCACTCTCTACCACCATCTTCTCCCCTGCTCACACCATTGCTGAGATCAGCTGTCCCAGGTGGTGAGCCTTGTTTGCTCACTCTGGGGAGCTCTGTGCAGATGGCAGCCATTGCACAGCCATTGTTCCCTCCAAAGCCAGCAGTTTAGCATCCCTGCGTCCTGTGGGGGGAAAGAAACAAGTGGGCTGTACTGCACCGAAAGTTGTTTTCTCTGTGCACTAATGTTTGCATCTGACTAAAACCCAGCTGTAGAAAGCCTTAAGAACTACTCCTCTGTTTCTTTTTGGGTCAGTACGACTGGCAAGGACAAATGGTCCCATCTGGAAATGGGATGACAGGAGTCCTGTCCATAGGAGGAGCCTCAACACAGCTCACTTCCAAGGTAGAAGGGAACCAGGAGGGAGTGAGGCTGCAGCTGTATGGGCAGACACACACGGTGAACACCCACCACTGTCCCTGCCACGGCACAGACCAGCTCCGCAGCAGGCTGCTCTCCATGCTCATACAAGTGAGTATCTGCACAAAGGGCTCTTGGAAGTTCCTAGATATTAGGTCAGCCCTTGGTACTGAATGACAGTTGCATAAGGTGTAGCTGCTTATAAGCAAAATGTCACATGCTCTCCATGTCTGAATCAATGCTCTCCAAGCAGAGATAAAGGCACCTGTTCCTGGGTTTCCTACTGACAGGATCTTTGGCTCGCTACTTAATACAGTGGAGCACAAAATCCCTCTCCTGAGGTGCTAAAATCACAGTCAAGGTAGAGACCTGGATATCCTGCAGAGACCTGCTACCCACAGTTATGCTGGGGAATTCCTAGAGATGAAGAACACTCCTTCTCAAAGGGCTTCTTCAGCCCCACACAGCTTTAGTGGGCAAGCAGCCAACTGAGAGGGGGCTGGGCACCTGCATGCCACCCAGGTCACGCTGGCTAATGGAGAGCATGGGGGCTAAAGCATCAGAAAACACTGAATTTCCCATGCCTAGCTGGCTGCCTAATGCAAGCAGGATCACCTTGCATTTCAGTGATCAGACTTGTGAACATGGGCAAAACAGGAACCACTTAGAAAGGAGACCAGAGCAACCTTTCACTAGAAGAAGTACCTTAATTCATTGAGCAGGTAGGGCCACGATTCCCACAAGCCAGGACCCCTCAGCCTCCCACAGGACATCGAGCTGCTGCAGCTCGCTCTGAACTCAGCAGGAGCTGGGATCCTGCTGCATCAGTCTGGGTCTTGCAGATCAATAGCTGAGATAAGGTTTGACAAACCTTTTGCAGCATGCCCTCTCAACTACAACATGGTGTTATTTCAACACGGTGTTAGAAAAAACAACTCTTCCTCATGCGCATTTTATCTATAAAGCCTTGGGATGCCAACCTCCTCTCTCACTACCACTGCCCTTGTTTTATTCTCTCCATAGGAACAAGGAAGTGCTACAACTGTGCCTAACCCCTGCTGGCCCCTCAGCTACTCCCAAGAAGTGCAGTGGAGCTCGGTGCACACAGGGCCTTGTACTGTCAGTGATGACACGCTGGATATCCCCAACTCTGATCAGGTTTTCAACATCTCCGGCACCAGCAACCCCTCTGCCTGCATGAGACTCGTGCAAAGACTGCTCAACTCCTCCTCTTCCTGCAGCTTCCTCAATAATTTCCCCAAAAGTGCTGCCAAGCCCCTCCAAACCAGGTTTCTGGTGGGTTCTCATTTACTCTGGGGTAGCCAATTAGTACTGGGAATACAAGAAATGGGACCAGTTCAGTCATTAATAAATACAGAGGGAACAGTCACAGCCTCCTCTACTAGGCAAGTGGGCCAGTGCTCTGCTTAGTGCCACACAAGCTCTCTTGTCCTCTCCCCATGTTCAAATAAGAACCACAGGCTTCCCACCAACAGCAGTGAGAAAACCTTTTCATTCCGTGTTCCAGCAATGTCTGCTTGTCAGACTCTGGGGCTTCTCTGAGCCATGAAGGAGCTCACATGATCCAGCAGGGATAGGGCAAGGTGGGAGCCACGCTCAGCAGGACCTCCTATACCAAGTTCTTGGTGAAACAAAACGATCCACTCCCACTGTGAGCAGACATCCAGGATGCTCCACCATCCACATGTTTGTATCAGAAACCTTGGATCTATCACTAGAATGTTAAGCCAGGACCAGTGCAAGATCCTGAAGACAGTGCATCTCAGAGAAGGCATCCAGAGGGAGGAAGTGACAATTGTTTTTGCTGCCATTGTAGGTGATTTCTGAGGCCATGGACTTCCTGAGGAAAACCACATCCTCTCCTGACTTGGGTCAGGCAGTCAGCAAGCTTTGTGAGATGTCTGTCAAAGAGGTAAATGGAATAATTTATTGTACAGGGATAGCGGGAAGCCAGGAACCTTTTGGAAAAGCCCACATGGGTCAAAACTAACAGAGTTAAAAGTCACAGGCTTATTTTCCTTCCTCTCCAATCTCAGCTGCTACCCTTGGTATACTTACATTTAATCACTTGAGAAGCCACAAATACCTTATACTGCACATAAAGGAGTAAGCAGGAAGCCTGTCTACTCACTCCTGCACATCACTTTGATCTTCCTGTTATCCTCTGGTCTTTCAGCGTAAGGAACACACCTGCTCAGACTGCAGGGACTATCCCACTTCATCTGGGCTCACACAGACCAAGCACAGGGTCTCCCAGAAGTTCTTCCTCAGCTGGTGTCTTATGAGGGCACCTTCATTTGAAGCATACAGCAACCAGACATCCTTTCCTTACTAACATCTAAACTAGCCAGTTCTTACAGGGTTTGCTAATGGGGTAGCAAAGTCCCATTAGTAGTTCCCTAAAGTTTTCTCTTCTGTTCAGAAGGGAAAGGCCTTGTTAGTGATCCTGCTGAGAGAAAGGCTGCAGCATTAGCTCAGCCTAAGCACAGAGCAGGAAGTCCTATCAAGCAGTTGACCTGCAGTGCAGCTGTACGAGACCTGGCTGCTAGCTCTGAAGCTCTTCAAACTGCCAGGTCCCTTAAACAGTGGGAAAAGGCACTGAGAGGTGGCACTGGTTTCCAGACCACAGCCCAGAGTAACAGGACAGGGACTGAAACCCCCTCCTCCAGTCCTGCAGCCAGTCCCAGACAGAAAGGGAGCATTTTTGACATGCCTGAAATTTAACTACTGAATATTTACTTTTTTTCCCCTCCTTTTGTTCTTCCTTTGGAAACAACACCAGCTAGTCAAGGAGACCCAGACAAGCCTGGATGCACTCGCTGATTACTGCGTTGTATCTGCCTTCATCTTTCATCTCAGTACAAAGGGATATGTTTTTGACTTCAGTCAGTCTGTTGAGGCTGCATTCCAGGTCAGTTATCTATGTGTGGTACATCCAATTACAAGGGTGAGACGATTTCAGTAAAGCCAGACTGTGTCCAGTGTTACAAGACCTAATCAACAAGGTTTCTCCAAAAAGATATTTTTGCTAAATCAATTCACATTTGTTGTAAGTAAGAAAAAGAAGGTCAGAGAACTAGGGATTCCACTCATGAAAAACAGATGGGTCAAAACCTTATTCGAAGCAATATTATCTTTAAGAATCCATGTCCAAGAAGCAAGTGAAGGAAGACTGCTTTGCCATCACTTAAGGCTACAGACAAAGGTTGGATAATATTTCCTAAGCCAGAAGATTCACCTTTAAACCAGTCATGCTTTACAGCTGGTGAAGGCAGCTGCTCCAGGATCTGGAGCTCCTTAGGAAAGCAGGATTTGATTCAGGTCCTCACACTCACAAAAGTTAAGCTTGCTCTTAAATTTCTCAGCTCACGAATAGAAGTGTGACTCCCCTCAAACGTGAGCAGGGCAGCATCAGTAATAGCAGTTCAGTCAGCCACATAGCAATCACCAGCCAAAAGCAAGGTTAGGTTCCGGGTCCACGCAGCAAACTGAAAAGCCAGAAACAAGTGCCCTACAACATCAGTCTGAGGTTCATTCAGCAATAGGACCACAAGCAAAACTACTTACAGCAGAGATCCACCAGGGAAAATCAGGCAGAGAGCAGGAGTAAAAACAGCACGCAGGTACACCTCAGCTCAGAAAAGAAAGAGCTGCTCAGGGTAGAGCTTAAACAGAGCTCCAAGGGCAGCAAACAGAGGGGGTGAGTGGAAATCTCAGGTGAGGCTGTTTAGGGCAATTAAGGCGTAGCAGTGCACTCAGAGCCCTAAGAGAGGAAGAGCTGCTCATTTCAAGCCTAATCCACGGGTCAGTCTCAATTAAAGCATGCAAGGTTTTAGGCCTGTTCACAGAAGCACAGCTGTTCTACCCAGTTTTCCTTCTGACCTCTTCTCCTTTCCCTGTCAACAGACTGGTGACACATCATCTGTCTGGACTCTTGGATACCTGCTGAATCTGACCAACAGCATCCCCCAGGACAGCCCAAGCTTCCTCAAGGGCATTGACCCAGGTGTCTGGTCTTTGCTGCTCATCCTCTTTGTGGTGCTGCTCACTGGCTCGTTCATGCGCATCTCATACCGAGTGATGGTCAAGGAGAACAGCTTCAGTAACAGGAACAGCAGCGTTTTTGATGACAACTGACTTATTCCAGGACTAGATTCTTGTGCCAGAGGGCAGCCAACAGAGTATATACAGAAATCACACAGCTGAAAATCCCTGGAGGATGCAGGTGGTTTTCCTGCAGGACTCTAGAGTCTCAGTACCTTGTTTCAGCTTGCAACCATTTGCACTACTGTACACTGAAAAAACAGATTCTGCCATGCAGGAAGCCTGAGGTTCACAGTGGATGACAAGCTACACGTTCTCCAAATGAGACCAGCTTGCACAGATCTTGCTTGGGCTGCAACTGCAATTACTTGTGTCAAGCTAATGAAAACATTCCCTTGAGGAGGAGGCGGGCCAGGAGCACTATTATAAAGTTAATATTGAATAATCCTGTCTAATTAGGAAAAGTTATATTTAAAAAGGCATTCTGTCCTCTTCTTTGCCCACAAGAGGGAAGATGCCTGCTACATACCACTAATGGAGACTGGAAAAGCTCTAAAATACAATCAGAATACAGCTGCCAACTTGCATGTACTCTCCAAGGAAGAAGACTTGTATTTTCTCCCTGCCACCACTCACCTGTCCTTCCATCTCAGTGGCAGTATCCACGTATCCCACCCAGTGAACGCTCCTGCTGACTGAATCCTTCAAAAGCAGCAGGTTTTGGTCTTGCTCTGTACAAAACATACAGAACATCAAAGGAGAAACCAAGGGCACAGATACACAGCTGAGTTCCTGTCTCTCAGCTGAGTCACGGTAACTCAGGGTTAAAACTGTCAATTCAAACACTTTAACCAGGATTTATATTAAGATGTTTTATCTCACACTTAAAATTGGGTGCACGATGGCAGCTCACTCATGTGCACTGAACTGCTTGTCTCCCTGCCCCTGGAATGTGATATCTAACACTGTCCTTCAGGCAAGAACAGACTGAGGAACAGCAGCTTTCCCAGTTGTCAGCCCCACGACTTTCATGTTAGACTGTGACCAAATCGACTTTGCAGTCCAACATTCAGGATTCCTCTGGGACTGGCAGCCGTTCCAGCTCTGGTCCCCTCTGTTCTTCTAACAGGAGCTGCTGTACAATTCTCCACGTTATTGTGAAGAAAATGGATGGATTCAGACATATGCTGACCTTTGACTAAAGCACTTAGAGTTCACCTCTCAGAATGCTTCAGAGACTTAAACACACAAGCTGTTTAAAGCCCAAGGCACAAGTGACTTCAACTCACTGCAGACCACTTTAAACCGAAATTTAAATGCTCACAGATGCAATGATTTGCCTTGCAGGATATTTAAAGCTACGGTGGCACTCAAATCCTTTCAAACCTGGTTATTAATCCCTTGTGTTCCTAATTCACATATAGGACAACCCACCCCTCCCACCCCCACCTACTAATATTGGTGTGTTCATGAATTTTCAGGCCAACTAATGAAGGTCTGGAACCTGTCAGTCAAGTTTGGAGGGGTGTGGAAACAGACTGAAACAAGCTTCATATTCATTTCTTTGAGTTGCAGGTTAGATATTTTTAATTATATCATGTTATTAAAGATGTTTGAATAGACTGTCTGTGTTACTCTTGGCAAGAGATCAAAGCAGGGCTTTTATTGTGAATACAAACTGTTTCAGAGGAGAGGATGGGGGATGCTGACTTTGCCTCTGTTTACTCAGGAGTTGTTATGCTGTGTTCTTCTGGGGTATACAATGAGAACCCCTGAAGGCACTTTCTTCCCAGTGGCAGGGAGGCAGAGAATGACTTTAGATAAGTTGGCTGCTGGTATTTAGTTGATGAGAGACACGTCAACATCTTTGATGTGTTCTTTGCTCAGACCATCTGAAGAAGGAAGAGGAGGGATTCAGACAAGCCTGCGCAGAAGAAAAACTGAGGTTATCGGGGAGTCAGCAGCACAGGGGAAATCCTCAGGACTTCAATCCTCCTGCTTCTGGGAATGCAATCATAAAGCAGCTGCCACACACCGGTGGTAGCTTTAGTCTCTCCTTTGCACCACTCTTCCTCCAAATACAGCCACTGCTGTCTCTTCAGCTGCAGGTTGATGGCTTGTATGTTGTGGTACCAGATGAGAGTAGACAAATTTGTTCTCCTACAGTGATTGTGCTGCCCATCCCAACAGGCAGCTCCAGCAGCCAGGGCAAACCAGGCTTCAAATGGGCAGTAGTATAAGTGCTATGCAGCAGAAATAAACAATTACAGGTGTATTCATTAGACACTGAGCTAAATTGGTCTTTTAAAAGCCCTGAAGTGTGTTTTCAGCCATAAAAATAAAAAAATGCAAAATTGGGAACGTACAAGAAGAAAGAAAACCAATCAAGGTAACATGCTCCTCTCTACCAACTTCCTACAGAAGCAGCTCTGGCATTTCAACACCTCGTAAATGTGCAGAACTAATCCCCAGATTACCTCAACAGCAGAAATCTACTTAAAAAGAGATTCTAGATTACCTCACTTGCTTTGAAACAAAGATACTTGCAGCCTTTGGTTACAGGGCAATGGTTAACTGTGGAAATGATTAATAATGAGGGTTTTTAATCTGTGTGTAAATTCCTAATGCATAGCTCCAGCCCTTCTCACTGTGGGCTAAGCCATGGGAGAGCTCTTCTGGCAGGTGATGTCTTCCTACATGTCAGTTCAGTTATGCTGCTGTCAGCAAGTATCCATAAAAAAGAAATGCAAAGCTCCACAAACACAATAGGTTAGCTGACCTGCTGCTGACAGAATAGCTTAAGTTTCATGTCAGCATGTTTGCAGAAGTATATTAGACCCTTGTCTTTCTTCCAGTTTGTAGTAGTTCCAAAATATCATGGAATCCCAGCCAATACATCTCATCCAGACTGTACCAATGAACTGCCACGGCAACTGAGATAAATAATGGTTCAGTGCCTGCAGTGCAGTCCTGCAGTACCACGTCCAGCACAACAGGACCAGACTAGCTCCATTCTTCCTGCTCTGAGGCACCCAGGCTCCCAGGAACTGTGGGAAAAGGACATGAGGTGAGCCCTGACATCTTTACTGTGAGGTGCTGGAACAGCTGCCCAAGAGGCCGTGGCTGCCCCGTCCATCCCTGGAGGTGTTCAGGATGGGGCCCTGGGCAGCCTGGGCTGCTATGAAATGTGGAGGTTGGCAGCCCTGCCTGTGGCAGGGGGTTGGAATTTCATGGTCCCTTCCAACCCGGGCCATTCTGTGATTCTGTGATTTTAAACTTTGTTCTTATACCATGCCTATGATCATATATCAGCTAATCTTCCAGCAAAGTAGAAAGCCATATGATGATGTTAGTAGGACTAACACTCCTACTTCAAGAGCTAATTCAGAACTGAAGTAGATGGAAATGCTATTAGTAGAACAAGTCCAAATGAAAACTGGGATCGGCAAAACACAGATTTTTGCCACAGCTATCTTAAAATAAAAGTCTTTCTATAACACCATCAAATCCAGGCAAGTAGATGCCTGAATTAAAGCATTCTGAGGTTTTGCAAGAGCAGCACATCTAGTCAGTCCCACGTGTACACAGTGGAGTCCAGGAAGATGAAAAGTCTTTGACCTGCTTTCCACTATGCTCTCCATGAGATACAGAGTCTCCTTGCAGTGGGGTGCTCTTAAATAAGCGCTGTGAGCTCAAGTTCTCGTTCTCCCGAGTTGCAGTGACGGGGATTAGTCACAAGAGGGAGGCTGGCGGCGCAGCGCCTTCAAGCTCCGCAGATCCCCAGCGCCGGTAGCTGCTCCACAGCACATCAGCCCCATTAGCAAGCAGGCTCGTCGGGAAACTTGATGAGCAGCCTCCTGATGTGGATAGAGATAAAAGACATGCTGCGCTGTAGAAGTTCTCTACATGTGGGAGGCAAAAGCAGCTCTACTCAGTGATGTAAGAAACAGCAGCATTAGTGGAAAAAGATTTCCATGCAGAGAGATGGGGCAATAGCGTGGTGTATGATGAAGAGAATAAGATAGGCAATAAGAGAATGAATAATCCCTGATAGGAAGAGGACTGAGCCGGGAATGGAGGAGAGGAGATGGGAGAGAGACGGAGGAATGATAACATCAACTTTTGTGTGAAGGAAGATTTATTTTTGGTCACAGCAGGGGGTGTCACCATATGCCCACCTCATGACTGAGTTAGTCACTGCTCCTCAGTGCAAAATCTCTAGAGGAGCATTTCTGCTGAGTGAACGGTGAGCCTTACAGTGCTTATCTATGGGCACTGTACTGCAGTGGAACTGAATGAGGAAAACATGGGAGCAGTGTTCAAAGTTCACTCACTTAAAGCATGAGGGAAATGTAAACAGCCAGTTAATATCGACCCTTACGACAAGTAAAGGCTGCTTCAGCATTACATTCATTTTCATGGTAATCACTGACAATGTTTAAAAACTCTTGAGTGCAAGCTAGAAGTAACAAGCCCACAGCACCCCTCTGAACTGAGGAGCTCAGCAGAAACCATGAAGGCAAATGGAAGGAGCTCTTCCACAGCTTGTGGTTAAACCATGGGACTCAATGTGACAGATGTGTTTATGTCAAAGGTT